CCTGGGGACAGAGTCCTGTGGGTCCCGCACCTAACAAACACTCCCCACCAGCTGAAACCTTGCATCCCTCCTTGTAGCTCCATGCCACGGCACCATCCCGCCATGATACAGGTCTGCGAGCATCGCTGCACCGTAGTTGCAGGGATGGGAAGCCACAAGTGGGTCCCCAGCACCAGGATCAGGGGCAGTACACTCACGAACACCAGACTGGTGGCCCTGTGTCCCCTCCCCAGTGGGACCTGGTGCCTGGCTGGAGGACCCTGGGGACAGCAGGGCCTCTCTGGCTGGGAGCACAGCCACCAACTCTGCCAATAGACACACAGGCAGGAGCTGAGGACAGACACCAGGGAATGCTGGCTTTGGCACAGGGCAGGGGGGCACACTGGCCTGGAGAGAAGGGGGCAAATGTCACCTCCCCAGATGGGGATGCAGCCCTGCTGCTGCCCCAGCCCCTTCCCAGGCAGACCCACACCCAATCCCTTCTGCCCAGGCTCCGCCACAGCGCATGGCCAACCCTGTGTCCTCCCAAAATCCCAAGCCTGGGGTGGCAAACACCTCCCCAGGCACCTCAGAGAGACTCACCGGAGTGGTGGCGGGCAGGCTCCTCACCCCTCACCCGGGCCGGGGGAGCCAGGCAAGGAGCAAACTTCCCCGGGCTGATGCAAGATGCCTCTGGGAGCGCGTTTGCATTCTGCGGATTCCTGGGAGCTGGCCAGAAATCCCACAATCCTACATCTTGCACATTTGGTTTCAATTAGGGAGCGGAGAGGGGGAGCCAGTCACCAATCCAGGCTGGCTTTTTGGCAGAGGTTATTTTCCTCAGCCCGAGGGAATGTGTGCAAAGCTATAATTTACAGCAAAACCCATTCATAGCGCAAGAGAAAAAATAAAAACCTCCCCATGGCCGGTGAGGGAACTTAAAGCAAAATGCAGCGTTTTGCTTTCTGACACTCACTGGGATGGCACACATGTCTGGGACCCTCCTCTTGAGCCAGGGAGTGCAGGGGCCAGGCAGAACACCCCTAAAATGCCAGTGATAGAGGTACTCCACGAGGCCCCATCGCTAGCCTGGAAGGTCCCACATAGGCTGTCCTGCTCGGGTCCACCAATGGGAAGGGAACTGGGTTCCTGCGCGGGCACATGTGGCCAGGCCACTGTCCAGAGAGCCGGCCAGCCCTGGCACGTGGCGCGGAAGAAACGCTCTGGCAACTGGGCTGCACGCTGAGCTCGTGGTTTTACATCACTTCCAGGCACTAGCTTGGCATTGCGGCCATGGACTGTGCAACTCGGCAGGAGAAAATAATCATCATCATAATCAGCTTACGTTAATTTTTGTGCAATAGCTAAAAATGTAATTAAAAACAAATTAAACAGGTAATTCTGTTTTCTTTCAGATTAGTGTTTTGGCTGTATTTTATGCTAGCACCCACACTGCTGTGGGAGGGAAGCTGCACCCCAGCAGCAGGCCAGTGGCTCTCAAAAAGCGCTCTTGTGTCTAGGGCACCCCACAGCCCTGGGGCTGTAGCATTGTTGCTAAAACAACCTCCTTGCCAGACTCCTAGCCTGTCTGCTCTCCAGGCACCAAAACAAGTCACCGGCAGGGAAAGCTGTCCACTGCCCACTAAAGCACACTGGTGCCCTTGCTGCTGTCACCAGAGAGGGGCTGTGATGCCCCTCGCTGCCCAGCCATGGACGCAGTGAGAGGCATGCCACAGGGCATGGCAAGGCAAGGCAGAGCACCTCCAGCCCGGCAGGGAGGGCAGGCAGGAGCAGGCAGGGAGCGGGTTAGTGCAGTGCTTGCTGCAGGGCTCTGCACCAAGCCCTTGCTGCCCTACGTGCATACTGGCACAAACACTGGCTGGCTCCCCTCCGCCCCTGCTACCTGGAACTGGCACTCCAATAACTTGGCAGCAGCCACACCGCATCACTCTGTCCCTGGACATCCTAATGCAAAGGTGCTGGTGTGCAGAGTCAAAAAGCCAAAGGACTAGTGATCCCCCCTGGTTCACTGTGCAGCCCTTTGCTCCTGCTCAGCACTGGCCCTGGGGCTATGTGCATCCCTCCAAGGTGGGCCACGCTGTGCTCCAGCTGCTGCCTGCTGCATGCCAAGAAGGAGCAGCTCCCCAAGGAACAGAGCAGAGATGTTCCTTCCTCACAGTAGCTGATCCCAGAGCCTGTCAGAGCCAGTGGGCAGGGGGAGGTGGTGGTGCAGACCACAAGACCACCCGCAGCACTCTGCTGCAGCTCCTCACTCTGGCCCCCATCCCGGGCTGTCTCCTCTGGGACCCACAGCCGCCAGCCTGCCTTGGCCACACACAACCCAGCTGGCCCACAGTGGGCCACCAGCAGCCACAGCTCCGGCCAGGACCCCCCACATGGCCCTCGCTTCCCAGGCACACACTGCTTGCAGAGCAGAGTGCTCAGCTGAACCTGGGGTGCCAACAGCCACTCAGGGACTTGACAACTTCTCCAGCAGGGAGCAGTTTGAGCCCCGGTTCCAGCCCTGCAAGGATAAATTCCTCCCCAAGCAGCCATGGGGCAGTGGGTGGCTGTGCACCCCCACACCAGAAGCTGTGGTGGGACTCGAGGGTGGGACAGGAGGTGAGGCAGTAAGAGCTGCTCTGTCTGAGAGCACCAAGACACCACACTGTGGCAGCTGAAGAGCACTCCCCAGGCAAACAGAGGGCAGGTGGTGTTGCTGGAGGACACCACACTGGGACTGTTTCACCCTGAGCAGCACACGTGCCTGTTCACACCTGCTTAAGGATTGCTACTGCTTGCAAATTCAAGAGGAAAGGGAAGCTCTGCTTCCTCCAGAGATACCTCAAACAAGCACTGCAGGCCAGAGGACCTGCCTGCATTTCCCCAGGCGGCAACCCCTGCTGTGTTGGGCAGAGCAGGGCATTTGGCATGACACAGTCAGACCTCTGCTCTACAAGAAGAGCCTCCGCGAAAAGTCACCCTCGCTAAAACACCACCAAATGACAGACAGGAGGGACTCAGAGTTTAATCGGGTGCTTCCAGTTATGCAACATATGAAGGATGACCAAAAGGGAGGACATGGGCAATGACAAGGACCCTATTAAAAAAAATAATCATGTAGATTTGAGAAAAATAAAAATTCAAGATTAACCCCAGCCCTGTACCATAAAAATCCTCTGCATGTACAATGAATATTACTATATACATGTTTAAAAATAAATGCCCACAGCCTGGAGTGCAAAGAGCAGCACCGTAGCTGTGCTTTGTGGCAGGGGGAATCCATAAGGTGTTTGGGTTTTAAATTAAAATATAAATAGAAGCATACAACATGCCAAGAGCCGAGTGGGTTACATCCTCCTCTGCACAGGGCCACAGCAAGCAGGACCAGCCCCTACCAGCTACAGCTATAAACCTTCATATGTCTGAATTCCCAGCCCACCAGGCGGAACGGGCAGCCTGGCTTGGGCACTGTGCTGCTGCTACATCCCATTCTTCACCAGCTCATGGATCCCATCCTCGTCAATAATCAAAGGTGCGCGGAACTCTCGGTTCTTCACGTACTTTTCCAGACCCTAGGAGAGAACAAAGCAGCTCATTAGGAACACACCAATGCCACTTGCTCTGTGTACCTGCTGAGCTGCTTGCAGGTGGCTCTGGTCCCTTCCCATGCTAACAGCCTGGGGTACTCTGTCTTGAAAAGCTCCACTGTGAATTCAAGTCATGCTTTTGTGGCTTAACCCCTCCCCAGCCAGGCTCTCAGGCATGCCCTGCCAGCCTCCCCACCCCTGGTTAATCTGCAAGGGTGCCCGCGCTCTGGGGAGCCAGTACACTCACCTCTCCTCCGTAGGAGATGAGGGGAGAAATTTCACACTGGATTGGCAGGTCATTTGCATCCTTCAAGCTGCAGAGGAAAGTAACATCAGGAGGGTTAGCTACATCCTGCCAAGGGAGCAGATGGGGCCCAGAGATCTCGCAGGAGCCGGCATGGGGGTCAGCACTGACTGGGGCACCAGTGGCTGCTGGCCCACACAGACCCCACCAGTGCAGAGCTGGCCAGGGTTAGTCAAGCCTCGAGTGCTCCCCCCCATGGAGCTGCGAGCTAAAGTTAGATACCAGCAGTGACTGAAAGGAAAGAGAACTTTAGATGCAGCTTTAATGAGGACCTACATGCCTCTCCATGTGTGCAACTACAGCAGCACCTATACCTCTGGCCTGGACCCCAGCCCCACTGTATCTGATGCTGCATGCAAGCTAGTCACCCCGTCCTCCTCCTTCCTCCAGCATCCTTGGATGATGAGAGATGAACTCGCAGCATCCTCCTGTTTGGTTGGTCACAACAGGTTTTTTTTTAAACACACGTCTTGTTTAAAACGGAACCTGAGGACACAGGGTGAGGCTTGTCCAGAAACACGCCCTGTGACACCAGCTCCTCCTTCTGCCTTTGCCTCTTAGATCAACTGTCCAGCTCCTGTGTTCTGCATATGATCCTGAGCTGGTGAGGACAATGACGGACCCATACCAACACTGCCTGCCACAGCCTAGCCCCAAAACAGACACAGCAGCACTGCTGGGCAGGGGTCTGCGTGGGGTCCCTGACCCTGCTCCTGCTGCTACCAGCCTCAGTAGGATTCCCCCCAGATGCTCCCTGGATCCAGCCAGTGTTTAAGCCTGGCTAGGGGGAGCAAACAAGGAACCCCAGGGTGCCCCTTGCCCCCGCTCGCCACTGTAGCCAGAGAGGACACAGGACATCAGCTGTGACAACTCTCCCAGGTCAAAGCTTGTCCCTGATGCCACACAGTCACTCAGTTGCTTCCTGTCCCAGCTGTGAGTAAATAAAACTCACCCATCCTAACCCAGCCTTGCATTTGTGTTTGCCTTGGAGTCAGATTCCTCTCAAGATAATTTAAAAAAAAAAAGAAAAGAAGAAAAAAAAAAAAAGCCATTAAACAGAAATGAAGGATAAATGTAAGGTAAAGGATGCACTTTATTTATTATTACATTGTACCTAGTGTGATAGCCTAGTTATAAGCCTGAAAGCACTTGGAGTCTTGAATTAAAAAGAGAGATCCTAGATGTATCCCACCAGAAAGTACCAGAAGATACAACTTGTCCTGAAGGGGAAGAAAAAGCAGCAAGCTTGCTTAGTCTGCAAGTCACTTACTCACCAGCTTGAAGTCCCAGCCCCACAGATGTGCCCTGTGGCACAGAACACACTGCTATTACAGAAGTTGCTTTAACACTTCTGTCAGCTTCCCTGTTTACTTCTATGAACTTCCAAGCATTTAGCCAGGGGCTGGTGTCAGTCTGGATCTTCAAAACTCAAGAGCTGAAGTCACACAAAGCGCAGCTGGCCACCTGCACTGAGGTCTGCACAAGTTACGTCAAAGCCTGCTTGATGTTTACTTGGTGTTCTTAATTCCATGTCAGTCTGGTGGGCACCAGGAGATGGCAGCTGTCTCCAGCTACAGGATCAGCTGGGATCAGTCCGGGCTGTGCTGCACCATGGCATGACAAACAGGGAGTGTCATCGAACGGACAGGCCAGTGTGTTTCCCAACAGCATCCCGCCTGTGGGGTGACCTCTGGGGGCTGCACGCAGTCAGCAGCAGGCTGCCTGCTGCCCTGCATCTGTACCAGTGGCACAAGCTCCTTCCAGCTATCCCCACTGGCTCCCTCTCCGGAAAGGAGCCCAGGAGGGAGCAGACGCTGCCTGCTTACCACCTGCCACCAATGAGGAGCGGCACCCATGGAGTCCTACAGCGAGACATGCCCCACTCCCAGCATGCAACCCCGAGCACCCTGGCCCCATTAGTCACTAAGGGCACCTGCTCACCAGCGCACACCCATTGCAGCCACCGCAGCCTGGCACACTGCTTCGCCTACAGCCTGTTAGTACCTAAGCACAGCCCCGCCACCATGCACGCTGCACGGTATAGTTACTTGTCATTGACATCTGCTGGGATGGCATCTGACCTTCCGTTTGTGACACTACGTGGGAATAAACAAGGGTTAGCAAGAGAGGGGGAAAACCAGAGCAGAATAAGTCTGGGTTTGCTGTTCTCCAAACAGGGGCTGTGGGGATTCTCTTGGTCAAGGGATGCTGTGACCCCAGCCTGCCTGCTGCATGGACCTGATGGTGTGGTTGGGCTTTAGGAAGCCACCTTGTCCCTGCATGGGCAACCTTGGCTGTGCAATGGAGACTGGCAGGATTTAGTTCACAGACACTGAATCAAGAAGGAAAGCTCCTGTTAAACAAGTGAGCACCCCTCTGGTGGCCACCACCCGGCCCACCCAGGAGAAGGGACCCACAGCGGGTTGCTCCAGCAACGCTTGTTTCAGAAGCGCTGAAATGGAGAAGGGCTGCAGCCTGTCCAGTGCTTGATACCCAGCCCAAAGATGCAGGAGTGCTGGAAGCAGCAACTCACCGAGGGATGGCAGGGATGCGTGTGCCATTTTCGTCCACGAAGTGTCCCCCTGCGTTGAGAACCCAGCAGTGGTGCAAGGACATCAAGGCATGTCGGGCTGTTGTGGGGTTGTCCTTACCATTCTGGCTGTCTGCATTCTTCAGGGGAGAAAACTCATCCTCACGCAGCACCTCATACACCACGAACTTCCTAGTGGAAGGAATAGGATGTAGGAGGGACAGGTTTCGGAAATGTGGCTGTTCCCTGTCACTTTGGCTTCTTCCCTGCCAGGGTGGCTGAGCTGGGGCCACAGTAGCTGAACCAAGGCCATGACCCCAACATGCACTGGCTGTCCTCACAGCTACAAAAGAGGGAAGGGAGGACCTGGGCAGTAGGGTCCCTCCTCCTGCTCATGTCAGGGCACAATGGTCCTGTGCTGCTGAACAGCATGGTAGCTGGCGTCCCTACCCTGATTCCAGAGCACTGCCAGTGTGCACAGCCTTGGGTGCACTCCCTCCCGCCAGAGGCTCTCACAGCTGCCAAAAGGAGAGCCAGCAGCCTGCTCCCTGCAGAGAAAAAATGGCATACTTGGAAAACTGGAAGATGTCAAAGACAAACTTTTCCATCTTTATCCCATTGGGCTTCTCGGGTTGGATCAGCTGCCCTGTAGTGATGTCCATATGTGGGATCTTCTTTTCAGCTACGTGGTGCTGCAGCTGCGGTTCGTAAGTGCTGCATCGGGCCAAGAAAGAGATGTCACCCACGCGAGCAAGGCACATCTCCAGCCCCCCAGCTCAGACACTGCTGCAGCAGGACAGCTGCTCTGCCCTGGCAAAAAAAAATCCCCACAGCAGCCAGGAGAGGACAGCCCCGCATGCCCTGGCACAGCAGCCAGTGATGGCTGGGAGAACCCTTATCTCGAGGAAGGGACTGTGCAGAGAAGCAGGAGTCAGGCCGTGTATGCAGACCATGTGGGCTTCATCCCAGCACACCTGCAAACAGCTGGAGCTCAACCAGCAGAAAGCAAGGCAGAGGGCAGCCAGGTAGTCAGCTCTGCTCGGAACCAGCACTCCTCCTCCAGCACCCCAGCAAGCCCTTACTTGACTACATCTTTCAGGAAGGCAGTGGTGAAGTAGTGATTGGCAATGTTGCCTGCGTTGAAGAGCAGCCGCCCATCCGGGCCCCGTTTCTGGGCAGTGGCCAGGGAGATCTCACTGTACTCTACCACCTGGTAGACACCATCCACTCGGCACACCACACCGACTGGCTCTGTGGGGTTGGTCTTCTCCACCACCTGCTCAAGGGAAGCACTGTCAGGGGAAGACCTCCCAAAGACCTGCACTTCAAATGTACTGCCTTATATCTAGCATCCCCCGCGGAGGCTTTTTCCTGTGCAGGACAGCAGGGGTAATGCAGGGATAGGCATGCTGCAGCCCCCACCCTCCCTAGAGGAGGGTGAAATGGCAGGAATGGGTGATAGGGTCTCAGAGACAACCAGAGGGTGCAGGCAGGATCTGGCACCAAGCCCTTATGTATTGGCAGAGGGCATGGATATTTTTAGGACCCAGCCCACATGTGAAGAGCCAGCTTGCTGTGCACAAGCAGGAGGCTGCTGGCTCAGCAGAGCCATCCCCCTGCACACCTCCCTCTGGGCAATGGGACCCTGCCAGCAAATCCCTACCTGTTACTGCCACCACAGCAGGGCAGCAGGCAAGGACACAGGGCTTCCTCCTTTCTGCATGCTAGGGTTATTTCCTCCTTCTCTTGCTTTGGCCAGAAGGAGGAACTGCTTTCTCTTTCTCAGTTTGCTCTCTGAAAGCTTCAAGGCCAGCAAGCCCTCTCACCTGTTTGGCAGAGCTGAGCCTAATGCAAACACAATCACATAGTCCCTTTGTCTGCTAATCCAGCCTTTAAGTAAAGCTTTGGGTGTGCAGTCTCCCACACATGAGACACAGGGCTGGGCTGAGCAGTCAGCAGCACCTACTGTGTCCTGGTCTGGCGCCCAGGACGTCACGTCCAGGGACAGCTGGCAGCCTGTGGCAGGGATTCAGGATGCCTGTGCTCCCTGCAGCCTCCCAAACAGCTGCCCAGTATCCGGGTAGGGACTAAGCAGCCCCACAGGGCTCCCCAGCAGCTCTTGGCCCCGGGGACTAGGGGACCAGTGAGCCTTGGTGCTGTTGGTGCTACATCCCCATGCAAGGCAGAAGGGAAGCAGCACCAGGCAGAGTTCAGTGACACTCCATATTTCCTGGGGTGCCCAGACCCAGTGGGCAGGTGGGACTCCAGCAGCAGATGCTACTCCACCAGCAAGCTCCTGGTGCTTAGCTACCCCTCCTGGCTGCAGCAAGCCAGCTAAGGAAGGGTGAAGAGTCAGGAAGTCAGGCAAAGATCAGGACAGAGCCCACTCTGCTCTAGGGAAGCAGTTCCTGCCTGCCCCCAAAACCATACCTTGGCCCCACAGTCTGCTCCCTTCTCCAAGCAGAACCCGATGAACCTGGGGTCAGCCACCTTCACCAGGATGTTGTCCACACAGTAGACATGGACACTCTGCACGCCCCTCCGCTCCATGTCCTCCACAATGCCATGTGCCCCCAGGGCCCGGTACAGGCCCCCGTTGCCATCTACAGAGGGAAAAAAACTGCTGGGGGCTGCAGCAACACCTAGCTGTCCCATCAGTCAGCCACATTCATCCTCTCTTCCCCATGGAGCCAGCATGGAGGGTCACCAGCCCAGCCATACCCCACCCTGGTCCTCCCTGTCAAGACAGACACCTCCCAAACTGCATCATCCGCAGGCCATGTCATTCTGTGAGACTGCCCTGTGCAGGCTCCAGCTCCAAAAACTTGCCCTCTGCACTGTGTCTCACCCCCCTGCAGCCCTCCCATCCACTCCTGGTCACCAACCTGGTGCCATAGCAATCTTGCCCTTCTCCTCCAGCAGGATTTTCCCATCAAAACCCAGGGCAGGCAGCATGCCCTGCTGGAAGAAAATGACATTTTCCTTCTTCAAGCCAAAATAGTGATGCTTCACAAAGAATTCCTTTGTCGACTCCATAGTCCGGCCACTTGTCATGATGTACCTGTTACAACACAGAAAAACCCCAATAAGCAGGGAGGAGAGACAGGGTATCATACTCCTCATCCCAAATGTGGGGAACCACTTCAGCCTGTAACACTCATGACGGCCTTCTTCCCTTGGCAAACATTTAGAGGGATCTGACCTGTGGTGATCCTGCCTTTTTGGCAAGCAAACGAATGGCTTCACCCCTCCTTGCAACATACATCTCCAAAACCCTACCACACCCTGTGCAGGGAGGGACACCCAGCTGCAGCAGCCAGATCCAGCTATGACACCAACCTCCTGCTCACACACCACTGCAGCCCCTCGCCTCCCAGACCCCTGCCTCATGTGGCAGCCGTCCCATGTGGTGATATGACAGATGTTCCCAAGGGCCGTCAGGTTGAGCCTGACAGCATGGGACCTACCAGTATCATCCTCTGGTCCTGGACCTGTTAACTCCACAGGCCATGCCCATGGCAACAACACAGTGTCAGGAGGGTCTGTGTGAACCCATAGGCCCTTGGGCTTTCATGGGGGTCTGCGCCAACCCATGGGCTCATGGGGTCTTCTCCTGCTGAGGCCAATGGGGCCCATGCCAACCCATAAGACATCAGTCCACCAACACTAGCAGAGTCCTGCCACCACCACCCCGCATCTCATTCCACCAAGGCCACCGCAGGAACGCAGACCACCGAGACCAGGATGCTCACCAGGGGATGTTGCAGGGGGTGCCGTGCTGCTCCTCCGCCAGCTGTTGCAGC